CCGGATGAGCCTGGGAACGACGTCGCATTTGAGGCAGAGGTCGAAATCCGACAGCATTATGTGGCCGTCGTCTCTGACCAGCACGTTTTCGGGCTTCAAATCTCTGTAAACAATTCCCATCATGTGCAGATACTCCAGCGCTAAAATTATCTCCGCCGCGTAAAACCTGTAAACAAATCACACACCCCATTTTCCGTTATTACCCTTCCTTTTTTTTTTCTTATTACTTCCTTTCATTTTAACAAGATCAATAATCTTAGTTCATAATTTGTTATACATTTATTACAATTCCTCCCCTCAAAAAGGCAGAGAGGATAATATTTAAGTGGCACTATCTTTTAATAATTAAAATTGACCGCTATTTATTTTATTTTCTCTCTATTTCTGCAAAAGTTATGGTATAAACACCTCAATATTATTATTTTCGAAATATTTATTTCAATTTTTAAAATTTTAAACTTTTTTCATTTATTTAAAAATATCTATTTAATTTAAGATCATTATTTTTTGAATTTTAAAACTAAAGCAGATGTCTTTAAATTTATAGACCAAAATAAAATAAATATAAACCGAAAAAAGTAGTCGATTTCTCCTTACCGTCCAGGAATATTTAACAACTTTTCTTTTTAATTTTATTTCTCTTCATCATAATTGTCAAATATTTAACATAGTCAATTGATAAGGATCTCCACCAAGAGTCAATGTATTTTCTACATAATATTTCAATGATAAAAAGGAACATTTTAAATATTGAAAAGATCGAGAGAATCTCATTGTGAAATTCTTGAATTTACGAGAGTTGGAGAATAAGTTTAAAATGGTAGGGGGGGCATTAGAAGAAGCTTACTTAGCGGAGGAAATGTTGAAGCGTTTGGCGGGGAGGCGCTGACGGGCGGCGTACAAATCTCCGCCGGGGCAGAACTCCATAACCAAACAAGAGTAATGAGAAGCCTCAAAGTCGGCATAAAGAGTGGGGAGAAACGGGTGATCAAGGCCGGCGAGAATGTGCTTCTCCATGTCGGCACGGCGGAGCTTGTTCCGTATGGCAAGCGCTTCTCTGTCAACCACTTTCATGGCGTAGAAGCACTGCGGCAGCCCCACCATGGGGTTCCTTATCTGGCACAGGTAAACATTCCCTATGTCTCCGCTACCCACGCGCCGGAGCAGCCGGAAGTGCTCCAGCCCCACGCGCCCCTTCGCTCCCCGGAGCCACCGCATGGCCTCCCACGCCGCCGAGTTCGCCTTGTGGGGCTTCTGCGGAGACGGGGACCACCCCCCCGCACCCTCCGCCGCTGACGCGCAGCTGCTGCGCCGCCGGCTCCCGAAGCTCAGGTTGCTCATCCAGCTCCGGCTCGAGTCCGGGACTGTTATGGACGAGCAGCTGCTGTCGTAGTCGGATTCATCTCTGCAGGCTATGGCTGCCATGGAAGAAATTGAAATCCAATTCTGATGAAGAGAAGTTTGAGGATGGTGGGGACAAAGAGGGAAATTGAGAAAAAGAGACAGAAAGAAAGAGAGAGAGAGAGAGAGGTTTTAGTTGGCTTGTTGGGTTGTTTTTTATATAGAGAAACTTTGTGTGGGCTTTTTAGTACAAAAACAAATTATCATCTTATTTTTTTAAAAAAGTGCTACTTTTGTTTATAGTTTACAATAAATATGGTTTTGATTTTAAGGTGCACTATTAATGCCTCGATTTTGGGCCATTATCACGCTTTTGCCATTCCAATGAATGTGTTGTTTTTGTTCAAAGTAATGTTTATTTCATTCTTATAATTTAAGATTTTTTTTTGTTCTGAAAACGGATCATCCAAAACTTATAATAGATCTTATTCGAGTACTGTTTGGTTTGGTGGGAATTTAAAGTGGACATGGAACAAGTCAGAATTGTACATTTGTTTTATACTTGAGATTTCAAGACGTTCGAGCACTCTTGGACGCTCAATCATCCAAGATATTTTTTTATTATGTATTATTGTTTCAAGATTCTTATATAGAAGGCATCCTATATTACTGTATTTTTGTTCTTCATTTGTTTTCTATATTTTTTTATTAATTTTAATTTTTAATTTTTTATCATATAAAAATATAACCCAATAAAAATGTCATCAATTATATACTTTTCTATAGAAAAACAAATTCAAGTTAATATTATAATTAATACTATTAAATATTTTATGAAAATATTAAATTAACATAAATGAACTTGTTCTACAAAATAACATCTAAATTTAATAAGAACTAAATTGATAAGAGAAAATACACTATTAAATCAATAAAGATATAAAATGATCTACATAATGTAATGTTTCTTGAAATATAGTTTCCATCTAAATTGACCAAAAGTTTACGGAAACATAAACAATTGAATTATTTTATTTTATTTTTCTCGAGAGATGAACAATGAATATTTTACTTCAAAAATAAATGAAATATTTAATTTCCACCACTTATCCAAGCTTTTCCTTTTTTCAGTATATGACTACATAGAGCGTGGCATTGTTGTAATTTCTCGTCATAGATAGGGCAATTTCGAAAACATACGGTCAAAAAGGCGTAACTCTTTTATTTCTCTCGATGATAAAAGCGAGCGTATAAGCATACCCCCATTCAAGAAACCGTATCCAAAGCGTCAGGGAATAAAGCGTAGCAAACGACGTCGTGGCAGATCGAGGGGCAGTTCCGTCATTTGGGTAATGGGAGCCAGCGGTGGAATGGAGCCAACCAAAGCGGGGGCGTGGGTGCACGAAGCGCCCGTGCCTCCAATTCATATCCACCACCTACTGTCACGTAGTCGAGTCCTTTAAATTACTTTTTATCATCATTTTTTGTCACACATGTGAACCCAAATAATCTACCAACAAAATAAATAAATTATTACTATATATGTACATCATAAAGTTTTATTTTTTATTTTTTGTTTTTTGAACTCCTCATCATAAACTTCAAGTTTATGCTTTTGTCACCAGATCTCTATTCAATAATGTCATTGGAATTGAATAACAAAATGATGATACAACTTATCATATATTTTTTTAAGAATATTACATTACCTCTAATATCCATGAAGGTGGGTATAGTTGTATCTACAACATGTTATAATATCTTTTAATAAAGATAGGTAGGATCATGGAATTAATAAGCAAGGTTTTAATTTAGTTCCAACTAAGTTGGAATCTTAGATGAAGTAGAGGTAAAACAAATATTTAAAAACCTTGTTTGATAGTTATTATGTTTTTGTTTGTTTCTTTTTTAATTTTTTGTCCTATAATATTTTGTGTCGGGAAATACGTTATAGATGTAGGTGGCGATGATGGGGTTTAAACTCATTCCCTCTCCATTAACTTTTAACCCACAAATAAGCTACTATCATGGTTAAACCTAATAAATGAGATTGTATAAAATACAAGCATAATTTTTTAAAATTGAAAACTAAAAGCGAAATCATTATCAAACCACCTCTAAATGTCATATTCCCGTTCAATTATTTGATTTCAACCATGTCATAAAAAGTGATGGTTTGAATTAAAAAAAAATACTAGAGAAGAGATTGAAAAAAAAAAATCTATCAATAGACGTTGGAAATTTTCAAATTCGATAAATAAATTCTTGTAATTATTATATTTATAGTTTAATTAATTATTTGAGTTTTATGATATTTCTTAATAAGGAATCATATTGTTTAAGAGATAATCTCTTAATATATTTATCGAACAATCAAAATAATTTCTCCTTGATTTGGATACATTATTCGAATGACTGATCTAATTATGATTTTGTTGAACAAAAACACATCAATTTCGTTATACTATAAATTTCTAACAAACAAAAAAATTAGTACAAATTTCTAACAAAATTGGCACGAATGATTTTCATATATTTTCTAATAATAGTACCAGCACATGCACACCATACACTTATTTCCATTATTTAGTGACAATTTTCAAGTTTACACGTGTCATTTTAAATGAAATTTTGTACTTTTATTTGAGAGAAATTTAGCATTTTGCCACGTTGAAGGCTACAAAACCGCGATCATCAAGAGCACGGTGCATTATCAATTTATCATTACCTTTTTCTTTTTAAAAATATAATAATGTCCAAACTTTATGACTTTTGTAGTTATGAAATATATAATACAGAATTCGAATATAGTTTCTCAACCTCATATAATAACCGTAATTAATATTTACTCAGTCGAAGGTTAAAACTTTCGTCTAATTTGTTATATTATAAAAAAAACTCAAATATAATTGATATTAATGAGTTATCTTATACTTCAAATATTGAATTCTAAACTTAACATAAGATCTATTAGTTTAAAAAGTTTAAATATTTAAAAGTTATTTACTAATTTTTTTTCTTCTTTCCTTTTCATCTTTTCACTTTTATATCTTATAAAAAAGGTATTTATTAAAATAATTATTTCATTGCTTTTTGGATAAATCGTCAAGAAAGCGGGAGAATATAATTAGGAAAACAATAACTAAACTTAAAAACTTAAAATAAATTATGTAAATTCTCACTTGTTGTACTAAAAAAAATTATGTAGATTTGATATTAATTTTAGTGACATAATGTTCACATGAGTATAATCCAGTGGTAATTAACATATACTTCTTCCTTTTAGGTTGGAGGTTTAATCGCACATATCTCCAAATTTTTGTAAAAAAAAAGGAAGAAAATAGTGACATGACAATCCAAAATATGGACTATTAAAAGTATAAAATGATTAGATAAATGCTGCATAAATTTGGATATCGAGTCATGCTGTATTAGATTACTACTAAAATAAAAATATCAAATAATAATCGTTATTCAATATTATTTTAAAACAAATAAAATCCAAATGAAAACAATTTGATTTACACAATAAGTTTGTATATAATTTGAAGTTGAAAATGCAAATACAATTGGTAGCTTGAGTTTAACTTCTAAATTAACTACATGCCAAATAATTTTTAACCAACCACAAACTAATACCGGCCTACGCACCTAAAAGTCAAAAGGTTAAACTACCCAGGTAAATAATCTAATATTCTCCCCCATTCGCGTTTAATAGCAACTTGAAGAATATAAGTCCATTGATTAAGATATATATTCTCAATCAAAAGATTAAGATAAGAATTCACACTCACTTGTTGTTGAATTAAAAAATATACATTAAATTGATCAGCCTTCGATCGCTTGACCTTTCAAAATACCAAACTACATATTAATTTTTTTACAAAACAAACATCAGATATTTATTAAACATATATACAAGATTTAAAATTAAAGTTAATTACTTCTTCCCGTATAAACACAAATTATCTCCAAATGAGTTTGAGGTCTCTTGGTCATATTGACTTAAAGTTCTCAAGTTCAAACCTTGTAATGAGTTTAATACCAAAACTATTGATGTCTCCCGAATCCAAATCTTGGGACGAGTGTAGATATCCTGGCTAGATCCAAGAAAGTAAAGTTCCTGACTCCCCATATAATATATATGTATGAACACAAATTACACTCTCTCCCTCAAACTTTTCCCAAACCCTAATCCAAACATCTCTAGCTATGATCTATATCACCTAATATTAAACTTAATATTTTGAAGTTAAACCACATTTTATATATAATTACACGTTTTATAATTGTAAATTTTTCAAATTCGTGCCAACCTAATTACTCAACTTATCAAGGCATATACTCTTGATAAAAATGTTGGAAGTTTGAATTTACACTATCTTGATTCTAATCGGTATTAATAAAATATCAGCCTGATAAGAGAGAGAGGGAATAATATGGAGCCATGGGAGGTTTACACCAAATCTTATCCCCCAGTTTCTGTGGGATTTGGAACACAGACACACTTATATTGACATGACTTCTGATAGTTCTTTTCTTCTCTGTACATTACACATAAAACAAACAGTTTTTTTTCCCTTCATTTTCACTACTTTTTTTTGCAGGATGGATCTTATCATCTTCTCTCTTTGGTTGCCATTTCAGGCAGCACAAGTCTCAGAAGAAACTGCAGAGCTTTCAGAAGGGTTACATAGCCATTCCTCCATCAATTTTGCCCCATACATTCTTCTCCCCTTTACTTCACCATTAAAACCCTCACATAATCATAATATCACCTTCTTCTCTCTCTCTACAATTTGTACATGTATTATTTCAATGGGTATGTTATGATGATAAAGCATATATATTAATCCTTGCTTTTGTTGTTTAAATAAGTTCAAGTGATCAGGAACTAATACATTTTTTAATACATGCTCGATCTTCGTGTCATAGCTATCATATTACTTTTTGATTCACGACACCCAACACGTGAATTGTTTTTGTTGGTATAAAATGAGGAATAAGTAGTATTGTATTGACTTAAACTTGGTGAAAATAATCTCACTAATTATATTTTGTTGATCTCTTTTCTTATATATATTTATTTCTCTCCGTTGTTAATTTTTCTAACAGTAGTAATTAGTAGGAGGGTACCTAGCTACTTACCAATTACCAGTAGGCATTAAATTTGAAAAATACTTTGAGGATCAAATTTTGTGGATCGCTTCTACCAAAAATTGACAACCCTGCATTTTTTTCTTTCAAGAAATCTATGTTTTTGTATTTCTCTATCTTAATGGTTAAATAAGGACAAAATTGATCCTTACTAATAGGGAGCCAAATATTTTCCTTAAAATTTTATCTCGAAGAGAAAAAAATCAAAGGGTTAATAATACTTCTTTTGTGCTACTCATAGAGGAGGAAATAGATAAAGAAAACGGAAAATTTTCTCTTAGTTTCTCAACCTCTTGTTCCTTAAGGTTTGTATGTTCCTCTCAATGGGATGTTGATCTAACTTACTACGAAGACCTATACCAGACAACAACTCAACTTTGTAAAATCAAGAGTAGAATTTAATATTAACTTTGTTTGAGTGAGAATTCGAATCTTGACGAGTAGTTGTTGTACTGCACAAGTTGACAACTCCGGCCGTGGAATCAATATTGGTCCCTATATTACTTAGTTTTATTTTTCATGTTTGGGTTTGAATATTAATTAGAGGTAATATGTACAATAAGTTAATTTACTTCATACGTTTAGAGGTTTAGGATAGAAATATGTACATGTATTTCATATACATTGGGATCTTCTGTTTATTGGTTCTTATGCTAAATATTTTATTAGACTGAAAAGTCAAATAAATTTAATAAAAGAAAAAAGAGAAAGACATTGTCAGAAGAAAAAAGAAAGTTAGGAAAGAACCAAAATGTTTCTGAAAATCTGCAAGAATTTTCCAGTACTGGTCATCATCTTGAGCAATATATTGTACAAATTTTACTGAGCAACCAAACATGGCCAAACCTGACAGCTCCACCAATGGAGTCTGTCAACCAAATGAACTCACTGAGAGTGAGAAAAAGAGAAGAAAAGGGTGAAAAAAACAGTAACAAGTAAGTATATTTATGAGTACATCTTTCAAAATGATTTTAGAATGACATCATGTAATTTTAGAAAAAGAGATTTAATAATTTTGTATAATTAATTTCATGTCTAGTTACACAAATTTTCCAGTGATTTTAGGTGATTTTGGATGATTAATATATTATAGAGAGAAAAAAAAAGTTAGACAGAAACAAAAATTTTAGAGAGAGAAAAAATTTTTAGAAGAAATAAGCGTATAAAAAAGACAGACAAAAAGTTTAGAGAAAGATTATAAAAAAAAATTAGAGAGAAAAAGAATTAAATGTCTTCGAATTTCTAGAAGTTGTTAGGGAAAACATATCTATTTTAAAATAGAAATGATTTTAGTCCTGCCACGTCACTCCTAAACTAGTGATTCTAAAAGTAAAGGATTATAAGTGTTTTCTATTTATTTATTTTTTAAATTAATTTTAAAGAGTATTTTAAACCCATTAAAAATATTTCTTTTTCTAAATTTTAAAAAATCAAAATTAGTTTGAAAATTTTTAAAAATACTTTGCTTTATATATGAAATATTTCATTTTCTTTCTTCTAAAATTAGTTACAAAATAAATGTTTAACTTAAAATCTTTTCTTTTTTCACAATGCATCCAAAACTCATCCTTAGGGCTCCAAAAAAATATTATTATAAAAATTAAAAAAAATTATTAACCCTTTTAGAAGTCATTATCATAAAGAAAACCCTAACCCTAACCCTAGGCTTGTTAGATCAGTTTTGTTTCACTGCTAACATAAATTTTAATTTTCTTCATACCAAATATTTGGATGGCTAACAAATAATAATCCATAATACCATATTAAAATGGGAAGGCACATAAATTTCAGTGAAAGTGAAGCAAAGTAAAAAAATAAAAAAAACAAAAAGACATGGGGATGCATAGATCACTCAGAAATGGAAGTTGAATTTTTCTGATCTGTGTTTCTGAATTGTTGTTTTCCTCAGACATATCATCATGGGCAGCTTCCATTCCATTTATTCTCTTGTTTTTCTGTATAATAATTTATTATTGCCTCTCTCAATTCTTGGTCAAAAGGGCCTCCTACTTTCATAAACTAATATATAATAACTTTGCTTTTCTTAAAGATTCCAGTCACTATGAAAATAGTGGTACTTGTCAAAGTATTAAATTATCTACCAAATTCCTTCAGATAGCCAACTGGGTTTTATCTATTATTTGATTAGTCAAATCTCAAAAGGATTAAAATAAAAAATTAAAAGTTGCTAAGTTCAAGATTGGACCATTTAGAAACTTGTGTATGATATGATGAACCTCATCACCCCTTAGCTTTGTTCTCAACATATATAGTACTAGTTTTGGTTGCATCTTAAACATTTTTTAGCTAAATTATCTGTACTCACAAGAGACTTTTTGCATTCTAGATTTCTCCTTTTTCTGGTTTGGCTTCTTTTTGAATAGTTTGATTTAATATTTGTTCAAAAGAAGCGAATATATATATATATATATAATATAGATAATTTAATTGGTAGAGTGTCTTTCTCTTCTTATCCGTTGTGGTAGTGTACATCCGAGTCTTACACTATTTGTTGTATGATATTGTGTATCCATATTTTACAAATCTAGAGTTGAAATTTGAAACTTCAAATATGTAAGAGAGTTTTTTCTCTTTTTTTTAAATAAATAAAAAATCATTGAAAAGAAACATGACCACTAAAAGTTACATCAGAATAGTGGTGGTGACCATCAAACCAGCTTGCCTGTTAAAAAAACTAAGAATATAAATAAATTTTAGCTCACTAAAATTATACTTGGTTGAGGTATTATATATTTTATTATAAAGATTAAATGTTCAAATCTTCATCTTATTTCAAAAGAGAAAAAAATAATTTTTTAAAAGTTGAACTATGTTTAAGTTGGGATGGTTTTGGTAATAAATAAAATAAAATAAAAGAGAATTTATGAAAAGAAATTCCTACATTATTTTCAAATTATCACATATACCTTTTATTTCCATAGCTTACAATACTTAATACCGCAATATGTATTTAATTATTTGTTTCAAAATTGACCAATGTAATTTTCTTTCCATGTTCCAACAATGGTATTATCAGAATATTGAAAATTTTGAACTTTCAATGATAATGAGCTGTTCATATATTAAAAAAAAAAAAAAAAAAAGAAAACTAGCAACTTTTTTTTATTTAATAATATTTGTCAAAAGGGGACAAATGTGAAAATTTTCATAAATCAAGGGTAGTTTTGTCAATGAAAGAGTATAGCAGCCAAGGGCACTTACGGAAATTTCTCCTTTTGTTTCATCTGTTAAGGGCATCAGGCAGCCCAGCGAATAATTGGGTCTAAAAGGCTACAGGCCCAAACAGTCCAATTTGAGATGGGCTCAAGCAGGATCCAGAAACCAGCTCTGCTGCATATGTGGGCCTAGGCCCAACTTCAGAAGCGGGCCCCACAATTTCCATTTTCCATATTCCAAGCAAACTGGAGAAACGAAGGGGTTGATGTGCCGCTGCTACTGCTGCTGTGTTTCTGAATTCTGATTTCTGTTCACATTTCGTTGTCTTTCCTCTCTCCGGCGATCATGGCTACGTTCTTCAGAAGACTTGCTAAGGCTGCTCCAGCTCTACACTACAATGCATGTGGAGGCCAGTCAAAGTTCCAGTCCTCTAAGTTCAGATTCCCCATTGGAGCGATCGCTGCAGTTTCTGGTGGAATCTCGTATCTGTATTACGTTTCGTCTCCAGATTTGGTAATTCAGCTGGAATTTATTGTTTTCTTTTCTTCTGAGCTGTACAGAATGGAGTTATCCTGTCTCCAATTCTGTGCGCTGCTCATAATGGTTTTGACAATCATTCGCGAAGGCGCTTACATTGAATTGTTTACATTATTCTTTATTTCCATTATTTGAACTTATTATGATTGATTGAGTTGTCATCGTGATCGCGATTATAATACTCAGTACGATTAGTTTCGTTATCGGTTGTTCGTATAATACGGATATTGCTGTGTTTTCTTTCTTATGAGTACCGAAATTTAATGGACGTTTGGATCGAAGCGTCTCCTTGGAGCTTAACCTTCTACTGGCAAATTTTATTTACAGGTTCATCTAGATCAAAGCAATGAAGAAGGAAGCCCAAAAGTTGGTCAGTCTGTGTTATTCGCTCCTTCTATACAATTTTGTGATAAAAGTTAAAGAAAATCTGGCCCGAATGAACTTTTTAATTTGGATACCGAGTTTTACTATAACTCTCTGAAGTCATATGAAGCAGAAAATTTATTTTATTATTATACTTTATAACACGCTGAGAATTGAGAACGACTTTTATTTAATTTGCATATTGTTTCTTACATTTTATAAATTATGAAAAATGGTTTTGGGCATTTCCAGCTCTCAATGCAAACAAGTGGATCGAATTCAAGCTGCAAGACACTGCCCGGGTTACTCATGATACTCAGTTATTCAGGTACGAAATCTAGGGTGCCCGTTTTGTGGTATTTCAGTAAGATAATGAAGTATCTATTTGCTTTGTGTCAGTTTAATTTGCCGTTAACTTAGTGTGGTCTATTTATAACTGCCTTTATAATACTATATAGTATCGAGACATATCTTTAATTTGAGATTTCAGAGTATGAAATTGTTGTGGAGTTATAGCAGAAAACAATTACTGATACTACTGCTTAGGCTTTTTCCCTCGGAATAATGGTCGGAACTGCTAGTCTAATTACATTTCTTTAAACTAGAATTTTGTTTTTGTTTGCCCTCAGTTGTTTTCTTCTTTCTACTCTCCAATTTAATATAACCTCACCCAAGTCATGTATACACTTGTGCAACTAATTAAAAAATAGTTACTTTTTGGTGAACATTTATATTTGCAATATTTTCTAATACACAATTTGGGCCAGATTTTCATTTGATCCTACTAAAAAATTGGGGCTAGATACCGCTTCATGCCTCCTTACAAGGTATATTTCTCTATTTCCTTCTGTCCTCCACTCTGATTTTCCAATTAGACCATATAAGGTACATTTTTCTTTTCCTGAAATATGGTCATTTTTGCTAAGTTATTTCTTGGTTATTCATCCCGGTGCATTGTTGTAACCACAGAGCTCCAAGTGGGCAAGATGCTGAGGGGAAAATAAAATATGTTGTGCGCCCGTAAGTCTTCTTGTTCAAATATTGGCATGCTTGATTATAATTTTATCTGTATTTTATTAATGAAAATTTGGTATATCAGTAAGTTTGAGTTTTCAATGGTTTTGCATAGTGATAAAGGCTTTAGAATTCAGACAAGTGATTATGGATTCAAAATACCTAAGGCCAAGTCCTTGGGAAGTTGGGGTTTTCTGACCATTCTATGTTGTACGGACAAACTACATTCCCAGTTCGAATCTTTTTCATATTCAGCTATTGATGCCATCTTCCTGTTCACTATCAACCTCTACTTATGTTTCTTGATATCCATGAAATGATTTTATCAGCAAATTTTTTTTTTAAACATCAAGATGAGACTCAATTAGATCTATTGATGTACATAATGAAATGCACCGTATATATTTTTTTCTTTTTTATTTAATCATTTTTTGTCCAGGTATACACCTATATCAGATTCAGATGCAAAGGGATACTTTGATCTACTAATTAAGGTATATTATTCTTCATGCTATTGCCTATATCTCCTCAATTGGATATCTACTAATCCTTTTGAAAATTTCTTTATGAAGTGTGGTGTATTGTACTTAGGCCGTGGCTTTCCTGCATGAATTTTGCAGGTATATCCTCAAGGAAAAATGAGTCAGCATTTTGCTAGCTTGAAACCCGGGGATGTAGTTGAAGTGAAAGGGTATTTTCTTCTTATTATTATTTTGTATTCCTTCTTACCTTCATAATCATATCATGAATTGTATACCATATATGTCATACTTTTTCGCCTTTATTGCTGTGCAGCCCCATTGAAAAAATCAGATACTCTCCAAATATGAAGAAACACATTGGCATGGTAAGATGAGATTATCATGTTTTCTCAGAGTTCTTGTGAAATATAAGTAAACTTATAACTGTGCTGCTTCCCATATTATCATTTCTGGATTGCCAGTGTTATTCCCAGATTTTATATATATATATATATATTTTTTATCGACAAGCAAGTCATGTAACTTCTTTTGGAATGAGAATAATTCATTTCTATTTTATTTTTATGCACAGGATCTATTTGTGAACTCAAATGCAGCCTAATTGAAATTATAGAAACTAAATACTATGATCAACAAAAAATTAAAAAAAATATATGTGATCAACTGTAAGTTATATTCTCTAACTTCTGTTTTCTGCTCATGCAGATTGCTGGTGGCACAGGAATTACTCCAATGCTTCAGGTCATTGATGCTATTCTAAAAAATCCAGATGACAATACCCAGGTGCGCAATAATCTTTTCTTGCAAGGTTTATGGAACAATTCAAGACTGACCAGTATAGTCGAAATTCAAGGTTCCTGTACTTGCACTTTGAGGAGATTTTATGCAGTTGACTGCATGATAGACAAGATTATTTCTTTGTTCAATCACTTATTATTTTTTCTTTGAACTAGTAACACACTTTTCATTGATTGAGCAAAACATTACATCAGAAAACCTATTGTTTCCCCTATTTGGAGCTTACAAAAATGCACCCAATTGGAATCAATTACAAAAGAAGAATAATTGTAGAATGCATTTGATAGGGAAGAGTATGAAGTGAACTGAAACTTAGCTGTCAGCCATTTCATCCACTGTTTTTCTTTCCATTAGAATTCCAATTGTTTCTTTCGAAGTCATGTACACCATGCCACACCTTTGAGCACATTCATCCATAGAACTTTAGTTTTTTATTTGAAGATATGATCACAAAGCATATGTATTACATTCTCCTAGCTGAAAATTCAGACCCCCTGGAAAATTGAAACTGTTGTAGTATACATTCCAAGCATTTCCTATGGGCAGTAAAACAACATTTTCTTATAACACTTTAATGTATGAACTCAGAAAATTTTGAAAATAGACACCCATTGGTGTTTCTACGTTCTATTTACCTTCAACTTAGCTATAATTTTTTCATGGTTGCTTAACATATCCTTAAATGCTTACAGGTCTCACTGCTTTATGGGAATGTGTCTCCTGATGACATTTTGCTTAAACAGAAACTTGACTTACTTGCTGCTAGCCACCCAAATTTGAAGGTATTATCATCTGTTACAGACTTGAAAAGTTGCTGTAATTTTTAGAACTCGGATGTTCTATCAAATGACTGTGATTTCCATCAAAAAATGATTGTGTGATGAATGATGACATATTAAGAATCAGTTTGAGTAGTGTGTCTATGTGAAGTGCACTCTATGACATGTGAGATGTGTTAAACAAGCACATTATTGAAATTTTGACGTGCTGCAAAGAAATGAATGAAATAGAATATGAGAAAAAACTAAAGTTTCGACATGCTCAGAGAAATAGATATTCATAAATCTGGTTAGAGGACTACTCACGTGAGTCAATGGTGCTGTCACCAAGGATGCACATCTCCTCTAATTTCTTTTTTTTTCGGGTTTTCTGTATGTACTAAAAAACTAAAACTAAAACAACAAACAAAAAGAAGTATTGAAAAGTTGGACAACATGATAAAATTTATGTTTGTGTTGATGCTCATATTAGGTATATAAAGGACAACAAATTATTCTAAAAAATGGAAATATCTTATTAGTAAATATTTGTATAGGCTGTTGCATCATGGTGCATCTAGTATTATAAGATTAGATCTTTGTTTTTCATATTTCAATTGAAGTTAATACTGTGAAACAGAACTGAAAATATATCCTGATGCTTTACACATTTACCATGAAAAATGATTTAATTATTTCCCCTTCTTTTGCATGCTTGTATCAATTTTTTTTTCCTGCCTCTTAGTAATAGTGATGCACTCTATGGTAATAAATGTAGATATTTTACACGGTTGATAATCCATCAAAGAACTGGAAGGGTGGGCAGGGATACATATCAAAGGATATGGCCGTCAAAGGCTTACCAGCCCCTGGGAATGACACACAAATCCTCGTAAGTGTTTATTGTTGTGTAATTCATCAGTACTTGAAAATCTTTGCAGTTCTTGTCTACCTCATGGATATATGATCAGCAAAAACTAGCCTACCAGTCATTTCCCTGTGTGGGAAGGAAAATAAAAAAATAGTTCTAGTGATCTTTGTGTTCCCTCTTCCTTCTATGGTTCCCATCATCATAATAATATACTGAAGCATGCTGTTGCATGTCTACTGGGTCCTCTAAATATGGTACCTTCAAGGCATAGCGGCTAATCCTTCATTTCATCTAGACCTATGTGCACCGTATATCAAGTTGAGCCTGTGGAGCTAGGGGCATATATGTAGGTCCTATTCTAGCCAAAATTTTTGTCCGCCTTTGAGTTCCTCATTATGACAACCGAACTATGTCATGTAGTTCCATAATGATAGCACAAACAGTATGGTTCATCTGCCTTGAAATAGGGGCAATGATATTGGGGAATATCTACTAACTGCATTTCATCATTTTCTTAATTCTTAATGGTGCTAGCTTCATATTTCTTTCATGCATAGGAAGATGAGGCATTTGAGCCCTTCCTTCACCCAATATGTTGTTGAATCTACATATATATTCACGTGGATAGATGCAAGTGGATTGGTACTTAGTCTAGTTAACTTCTACACTAGGAGTCTATAACTCTGTATTGTTTGGTTAAAATGATAAGAAATTATGTGTTCAGGTATGCGGTCCACCAGGGATGATGAAACACATATCTGGGGAGAAGGCTAAAGATTACTCACAGGGAGAGGTATGTTAATATAGTTGGGATTTTTCTGTCTTTTCATTAACTTTAATTGATTTACCAACTGTTATTAAATATTAATGCACATCTAATTTCCTGCTTTCATGCAGCTTTCTGGCATACTTAAGGAACTTGGATATACTGAGGAAATGGTTTACAAATTTTGAGAAGATTGGCACAAAATTTTGAGCTGTCGACGTTTAAACTTTATGTGAGGAAGTATTTTCTGAAGCGTAGGTAGATTTGACCAAAATTTCAAATCAAAATAATTTATAAGGTAATGGCATTAGATAAATTAATCTTGTGAAGGCCAGTTTATGTTGGCTTTTTTTTCTTTTTCTTGAAATGTATAACACGTAGCTCTAGCTGTTTGTTCCATGTCATGAAGTCTGAGTAAAATAGCATATCAGCCGTGGCTATGAGCACTGCCTCTGGATAAATGGGTCGGCGTCTTCTCTAATTCCTAGGGAAATAATAGTACAACTGCTTCTCCACAAGTGGTTCGTATCTTGTACATTTAACAATTTTCAATTGAAGACGTGTTTAAATTTGATTTATATGATCTTGATTGTATCAATTAATTAGAAACTTCTCCAATTCTTAAAGCAACCTTGACTTAGCTGCTGCTTTCAAAACGTAGTTGTAAATTCTGATGTCGCTCCGAGATAGGTTAGGTAGATATGAAAGTAGGCATTTGATGATGACGCATTGGGAGGAAAACAGCAGGATCCTTTCATTTATGTCCTATTACTATGTTATCCTATGGGCAATGGGATCAGATCCATGCCGTCTTAAGAGGTACATTTTCTCACAATGAATTTCACCAATTATGTGCCTATCCTTTAACATTAGGGTTATAAAAATGTATATAATTTTATTTAAATGTATAGGTAAATTTTTTGCTTTTATCCTATTTCCCAAAATTAGTATTTAAGAAAAAAAATTTTAGCACCTATGAAATATTTAGTCTTGTACTTAGCACAACCTTTATCAGTTAAGATTGGGAAACAATCACTTTTAAGATCTCAACACCCGTTAACAGGTACAGGAATTACAATCCAGGTTGTGGTCCTATAACAAATGGACATCTGACTACTTTTTTATCGAAAGAAAATTGAAGTCTGAAGGTAATATCTCAAACCTACGGTGGGTCAATTTGCTATCGGACCACATCATGGGCCGCAGGATTTTTCCTAGCATGCAGTAAGTATTCCTTAAAATTCCTTTTTATTCAAGAGGGATGAAATTGGGGTCTCATTTTGCTCAAGAGAACACTTTTTTCTAATTTATTTACCCTTTGTTTTTGAGAAGGCTTGCCAATGCAAGTGATAAGTGTGTATGAGATGAAAAGTGCGCGCCTTCAATATTTTCTGGAAACCCAGGGTCAGCTACCATTGACCAATAACTGGTTTTTCGTTAGGCTATGATTTCTCTTAGGTTGGAAGGTAGGATAGTTCTTTAATATTCTCGTAGAAGAAAAGAATGGAGTTATTCTTCATGAAACTAAACTTTGATCATGTTGGCAATAAAGCAAAATAGGTTCAGGAAGCATCAGAGGGGAAAAAGTTGTATAGTGTCGGAGTTTAAGGTGAACTTGTTTTAGGGATCTGAGATTCTCCATACGAATTTCTACTTGTAGAGGGGTAAGGACCAACGCTGAGATCAAAGCAAAGAAACTAGGGATTTTTCGTGGAAAGTGGGCCACCTAAACCAATCTAATTCTAGACCAGCTCATTTTAAGGGACCTAAACCACCAATTTAATGAAACATGCAGGATGAAGCTCACTTAGTCACTAGCGAACGAAGTTGGCTCACTCATTCAATGACTAGAAAGTGCAATCAGAAAAAGCAAGGGAAAGTGGGACAAGGCTAAGGGCTTACCAGAAGATGATGCCAATAATTAGGTAAAGTATAATGAGCCTACGCTCATCATGGATTCGTCATTGAGTTTGAGTGTCTAGCATTTTATGATCCTTTCAGGATATCGGGCTATCCCCAACTTTCTTAGTCATTTACGGAGAAGATCAGCCCTGAATCCATTATTGACAAGTTTCTACCAACATAAGATCAAGTCACTAGTCAAAATGGATATCAAAGCGTGTAGATTACACCATTTGGGCTCTTTCTTTTAGAATGTTTTTCTAGCTCCCTTATAAACTATGATCATACATTCAAGAAGCTATGATATCATAGCTTCTATTTGGCAAGGACAAAGCGTCAAAACCTATGGCAATGTCCAAACTAGAGAAGAAGCCTCACGTTCAAGAAGCCTAAGGATACATCAATCACCTTTGCATTCTTTACCCTTTCACTTATCGGTGATGGACGAGTGTTCTCAAAGTCCTTGGTTCCTCCTCGTGCTCATAGGAAGTGTTGATTGTTTTTCATTTTAAGATCCCCTAGGGCCAACCCTGTAGGTTGAAGACTTTGGGGTGCAATGGCTCCTAGTTATTGTGTTAGGTACTTCGAGTAAATAACTTAATAAATAAAGTCCATTAATATGTCTCTTGAGACTAATGATAAATACATGATTCTAGTGAATTAGTGGAATGACGCCGTATCCTATGATTAAAATAAAAAATATCCTAATGGCAAAATCCTTTGGTCGTATGGCTTGCAAGGTTCCCCTTTTTTACTTATAGATTGAAAAGATGTAGTTTTGAGGTAAGGACTTTTGGATCTAGGTTTCAATCATCCAAGTGAAAAAATTCAACAAATGAAATTTCTCTTTATCTTTTCGAAGTTGGTTATGATATGCATAGGTCTATTGATTAGTGGAATTGCATCTTACCATACTTACCAAAGAAAAAGAAAAGAGATGGCGAAGAACAAAAAACCGTTCTTTGTACTATTGTAGTTGAAAAATTGAATAGATCTTCATCCAACAGCATTCCTTCATTTTCCCAACTTTTATTTTGAATTACAATAAATAGAGGAGAAATTTGTGCATCATGTACAAATTTCTGGATAAATAAAATTATAGAAATAGGGGTGGGGGCAGGGAAGAAGAGCAACAACAAGAACAAAATAACTTCTGTATATTGATCTTTACATAGGTTCATTCTGTGAACTCATTCAGTAGCTTTCTGAATCTTCGTTCTAAACAACAAAATATATAGTTTCTCCATTGAAAAATAAAGGAAGCAACCTGTTGAGTGGGTCACAAATGACCCAAAACTTGAGCCCACAATACAATGCCAGGCCGGCCCATGAACTTTATCAAACTCCTGCATTAGGCCCAATTTAATTAGTATAAATTAATATATAAAAAAAGTGGGGTGTATCAAAGTTTTTTATTTTGGGTTTTTCAGGAGAGAATAGTTTAGAAAAATGAGGTAGCATAGATTTTTTTATCCATCCTTACTACAGAGTAATTTTTTTCCCTTTTTGTGATATACAAATTACGTCATTACCCTCTCTTTTTTCCTTAACAAATGGACTACTTTAAAACTCTCTATTGCAATCCATCTAGCAACCACGTTTCTTCTCACAACAAACTTATTTCTTCCAATCCATCTTGCAAACTTCATCTCTCTCTACCAATCTCGATCTCAAAATCTTGCAATCCACCTCAGCCTCATTTCATAACCAATCTTAGTCATACTAATTTAGTAATTAGTGAGTTCTCTTAAGACGATTAGGAAATTAACAACAGTCATCAGTCAAGTGATGCACATGGTTTGTTAGGATTAGGAAAGGGAAGGGTTCCATTTGACTGAAATATTAGATTATTAGCTTAAAATATGTGCTAATCACTATGTGTTACTAATCTAATCACATGGGTTGTCGGATCCTTGACTCAATGCCCAGTTGAATGCTGTCTGAAAATTTTAGATAATATAATGCATTGCCAGATTTAGTGTTTGAACAACTGTCTGATTGATCAGAAACATGGACCACAGAAAGAAAGATCGTTGGGGATGATGTGATGCAGACTAAGTATTTGAAGAATTCAAATGGACCCCAGAGAATTAGAAATGTTATGATTTTCATTTCCCATTGATTTCTTCTTTCTGAATATGACCAAAAAGGGAGGAAGAAAGTAACAAACAAGGGGCCTTCTGTTCTGCTTTCCTTTTGAGCATTTCCTCAAACCAGATCAATATGAGATTCCCAATACCCAAAAAAGAAAAACAGAAAAACACTGTAGCAAAAGTGAGAATTTGACCAAAGCTTTTCATTTTGTGAAACCCCATTAATGATTTGTTCCTAAAATCTCCTGTATACTACAGTGAGGCCAAAGAGAAAAGAGAAATGATTCGAAGGACCAAAAACGAAAAATCTCACTGAGAGACCACAAAACTTGCTAATATAGAAGAATACCTTTTTAATACTGTGAGCCATGTGTTTTGAGCTGAACTTCTCCAAGCTGTCATAACTTCTCCTTGCAGACCTAAAAGCTTGAAGCTGCATCATTTCAGGCATGTCTGATACCAATACCTTCACTTGAAGAAATGCAGCCACTGATGCCAAGTTTGTTTCCACATGGGAAACTGACTTCCTACCCTCAACAACCAGCAGCTTTCTCCCCCCCATTCCCTCGCCACCGTCCCCGCCACCGCCTCCTCCCTCCATTCCTCTCCGACCGCCATGCTGATCAGTTGCTTTCTTAGATTTCCTACCCAGCCAGTTATACTTATAAACAGGTACTCTGTCCAACGGAGCAGGATCGAATGCCGCTGTATCGCGAGCTCCATCACGGGACTTGTAGAAGGATTTGAATCCTTTTATTTGCTTGTTTAGGGTAGCCATTATATGATCTCATGGAGAATATGGTTGGTTCAGCTATATAAAGAGGAAGATGAGCCAAGCCAAAGGGAGGTGTTTGGAAATATGAGAACCCAAGAAAGCCCCATTAGAACATAACTGATTAGGGAAGTGGTTGATTTGAGAATAATCTAAAGAGGCAAACCATGTGTTATTGCCTTCGATCAAGGATAATAAATTGCTTGTCAATGCTTGTGAAAGATTTGATATATTTTGTTCTTTGTTAGCAAAAAAATAATGCCTTTTTTATTGGAAAAAAAGAGAAATTCTGAGGTGGGCCAATGTTATTGGTAGTCTGGGGCATATTTGTCCTACTGTGGAACTGCTCCAAGACAGCCTAACAGAAAGGACACCCACCCCTTCACAGCTTATTTGTAGGGTAAGCTTCCCTTAAACTATATGGTAGGTTGATTTATTTGTCCAAAGGAAAAGAAAAAAAAAATGCTTCACAAAATCACAGTTGTGGAGAGTCTGGAGACCGTAGGATGTTGTGAAGACCAAAAACATGTTTTTTCAATCAATATGTGTGTGTGTGTGTGTGTGTATATGATTTGGTTATTATATATTGAATATGTGATGACATTCATTTTTTTTCTGGTTTGTCCTTTTTCTTTTTATTAAAGTATTTAAGGAATATGGGGAGGAATATCATTCTGAAAAAAGCTTTTTTTTTTTTAGTTCTTGGAAATCTTTGGAGAAATTTGTTTCTTGCTCTCGGTCTGTTTTTATACACCTAAAATTACCATTAACTAGTAACCACTTGAGGGAAAAAAAAGGATCCAAATTTATCTGTTTGACATTTTCCTATAAAGTGTAAAAATAATGCAACAAAATATAAACTAGCAAGGTTTCTTTTGTAAAAAAAAAATAATTACTGTTCACCAATATTTTATTTTAAATAAATCCTAAGCTTTTCAGCCAATAATAGCTTGAAAAGTACATTTTATAATACATAAAGTATGAACCTAAAAGTGGAATAGGTTCCTTATTGTTATTATTTTTTTTTAAATAATCCTATGCCAAACGCCGCCGTGAAGCTAGGCTCTAGCATGTGCTCCACCTCTTGTTTATCAACAAAAACTAAAAAAAAGTGAAATCTTTTTTTTTTCCCTTACGGAAGAAAAGTGAAATCAATAATAATAATTAATTAATGTACAATATTTCTTTATGTCATTTTGTGGAAAATTATTTCGCAAATAGGGTGTGGAGTTTGAGGCCAAATAATTGGTGGGTTTTTCAATTAAGTGGGTTATCAATAATTAATGAGGAGACAATTGATATGTTGCTTTTTTCTTTTTTTGAAACAACAATTGATATGTTGCTAGGTTACCTTTCTTGTAGAGTAGCATGCTAAAATAACAGTTTATAGATAATTTTAGGAGATGAGGAAAAAAAAATTAGAGATTTTAGATGTATAGCTACTTTTTAAAATGTTTATTAAGGATATAAGTTACTATTCTCAATTATTCATGAATTCTACTCAATTATAGGTTTTTGATACTTGTTGAAAGGCATGTTATTAATGATGCATTTCAAGTAATTTATATGTGCAAAAGCGGTATCTGGACTGTGGACTCAATTTCTTATAATTTCACTCATAAAAAATCCGAGTTTGTTTCTTTTTATCTATAATATGTAGTAAAAGTTTTAATGAGTGGAAGCCTTTACCATTGAAGTTTGTTCATATTAGTTTGAAAATTTAATAGTTAAACATAGCTCAACAGTTAAGACATCTTGTTCCTGGTTATTCTTAGTTAAAAGTTCAAACACCTACCTCCACATTTATGGTACCAAAAAAGAAAAAAATGATAATTTGTCATATTCTGTTTTTGGATTCAATATCTAAATATTATTGAGTAATTTGCTGAACAATATCTAATAATTATGAAGGGCTATAATTAAAACATTGAATAATTATATCTAATAATTATAGTTATTAATATAACTAAAACAACTCTTTATAAATTAGTGGTGTTTAATTTTACTATTTGTTATATTTTTATTGATTAGTAACTAATATTTCTTCTTTTATTTTTTTTTTCAAAGCAAAACCAAATACTTACAAGAAAAGTTCATTTTTCGTCGGTGACTCAACTTTTAATACTTGTATATCCATGTGAGTTATCTAATGTTATTCTCATTTAAAAAATCATTAATGCTCAACTTACTTATTTTATTGTTAAGAAGTAACATATTAAAGTGCATATGATTATCATTTTCATTATCAAGTTACTTTATTATGTAAAAATATAGGTAATACTTCATAGTGAATCTATTTGTAGCTTATATTATAGTCTTTATATAATATTAGAAAACAATAAAGCCATATTATTTCAACACTTAATTGTAAAAAAGTAGGGTATGCATGTCATTGATGAATAAATAAGAGATAATATCTTCGGATGTCTATTTTAGAAACTTATTTACATAAATGTCTAAAGTTTTCCAATTTTACAGTTTTAGATTTCTCCATGTAGGATTTTTTTAAATGCCGATTTTATCCTTATTTATTATATACACTTTTATTATAGTTTTTTTTATTATTTTGAAATTTAAAATATTTAATTGCATAATTGTAATCATATTCCTTTAATTATTGTGGACCCCATATAAATTTTCAACACTAATCCCTTAATTCACTCCTCCAAAAAAGATTTTTCCTATAATTTACCATTATTATTAATTAAAAAAATATCCAATTTTGATCCAACAATATTTTTTCATATGATTTTTTCCGTGTGAAGTTCCCACACAATTGACCACTCCAGTTTGAAATTGTTTGATTAAATTACATTGGAGCCAACCACACTATCAATTTTAGGGGTTTCCTTTTAGGGGTTTCCTTTCACAAATCCATGATGGTCTCCTAGGTAAATAAAATAGCTAGAATTATGTATAAGATATATACCACATATACAATATATTCTAATATTTACAATATATGTTGCTTCAGTCAATATATTCTCATATACTATATATTCTCATATATTCCCATATATACAATATACAGTTATAACATATATTCTACTTGTACTTTTGAAATCTACTATTATTCACACGATGTAATTAACATTATGTATATACCATGAAGACTTTTGAATTCAAATATTATTATGGATACGGTTAATATAATTTATATACCTATTAATATTGTTTTATAACTTACAAACT